ATCTTCAACAACACGTGCTTCAAATCCTTTTCCCTTTCAGCAAGCAAAATTGTGTCATCTGCATATCACACAGATTGTTCATAAGCCTTCCTCCAATTCTGATGCCACGTGCTTCTTCAATTTAGCTTCTCTATTTGCTCAGCATACAGATTGAACAAGTATGGTGAGAGGATACATCCCTGATGCACACCTTTCCTGATTTTTTAAACCATGCAATAATCCCATGTTCTGTTTGTGTGCACAACTACTTCTTGATCCATGTACAAAAGTTCCACATGAGCACCATGAAGTATTCTGGAATTCCTGTTCTTTCTTCTCAAGGCTATCCATAGTTTGTTATGACCCACACAGTCCAAAGCCTTGGCATAGTTCAGAAAACACATGTGAACATCTTTCTGGTATCGTCTGCTTTTAAGTAAGGTCTATCTGATATCAGCAATGACATCTCTTGTTCCACATCCTTTTCTGAATCTAGCCTGAACCTTGGCAGCTGCTTGTCAATGTACTGCTGAAATTGTTGAATGATCTTCAGAAATACTTTGCTTTCATGTAATATCAATGATATTCTATAGGTTGAGCATTCTGATGAATCACCTTTCTTTGGAATGGGAACAAATATGGATCTCTTCCAGTCAGTTGGTCAACTGGCTGTCCTTCCAGATTTCCTGGCATAGACAAGTGAGTGCTTCCAATGCTTCATCAGTCTGTTGAGACATTTCACTTGGTCCAGATTTCCTGGCATAGACAAGTGAGTGCTTCCAATGCTTCATCAGTCTGTTGAGACATTTCACTTGGTGTTTCCTCGATTCCTGGAGCCTTGTTTTTGGCTAATTTATTTAGGACAGCTTGAATGTCTTTCTTCAGTACCATTGGTCTTTGCTTGTATGCTGTTTCTAAAGTGGTGGAGTGCCCTCTAGTTCTTTTTGGTATAGTGACTGTGTACTTTTTCCATCTTCTCTTGATGGCTTACTGCATCATTCAATATTTTGCACATAGAAGCTTTCAATATTGGAACTTGAGACTTGAAAAAATTTTTTAGTTCTTTCAGTTTCAGATATGCTGAGTTTGTTCTTCCTTTTTGATTTTCTAATTCTAGGTGTTTGCACATTTCATTATAATACTTGACTTTGTCTTCTCAGGCTGTCCTTTGAAATATTTTTATTCAACCTTTCTTTCATTTGCTTTAGCTACTCTACTATTATGAGAAAGCTTCAGAGTCACTTCTGACACCCACATTGATCTTTTCTTTTTCTTTTGTCTTTAATGACATTTTGGTTTCTTCATAAATGATGTTTCTGGTGTCCTCCCACAGCTCATCAGGTCATCTGTCATTAGTGCTCAATGCATCAAATCTGTTCTTGAAATTCAGTTGGGATAGACTCAAGGTTGTAGTGTGACTCTTGTAGAATTGTTTTAATTTTCTTCAGCTCTATCCTGAAATGATATATGAACAATTGACTGTTCCACAATCAGCCCCTTCCCTAGTTTTAGCTGTGTATATTAAGTTTCTCTCTTGTTTTATCCCAAATATGTAGTCAATTTGATTTCTGTGTATTCCATCTGGAGAAGTCTGTGTGTATAGTCACCATTTAAATTGTTGCAAAAAGGTATTTTCTATGAGGAAGTCGTTGGTCTTGCAAAATTCTATTATGTGATCTCCAGCTTCATTTCTACTACTAAGACCATATTTCCCAACTACTGTTCCTTCCTCTTTTCTCCCAAACTTTTGCATTGTAATCACCCATAATTATCAATGCATCTTGATTTTTTCATTCCTAGCTTTTGTGGTT